AGAAGAGAAAGAAAGGGAAGAAAGAAAAGGAAAAATATGGAAGGCGGGAAGAAAGAAAGAAAAAGAAAGGAGGGAAGGGGGGAGAAAGAAAAAGGAGGGAAGGAGAGAGAGAAGGAAGAAAGAAGGACAAAGCGAAAAAAGAAAGAAAAAGGAAGGAAGGAAGGAAGACCCAACTCGGCTTCCCCCACTCACCCCAGCCCCTCCCTCCCGCGCTGATTTCAACCCGCTCTGCAGACGCGCGTTCACACGTTCCTTCTGCCCGGCTTGCAAAACTCTCCGCTCCTCCCGTTGCAAACCTCGCATCGCGGAAACCCCCGAAAGGCGGGGCCAAGAGAGCCCGGGACGCGCATGCGCCTTTGCCCACGCGCCTGCCTGCCTTCTTCCGGACCGTAGCCCAGGTGAGCGAGAGCGCATGTGCGCTCTCCCCAGGACAGGGGTGGTAGGGGGGCAAGAGGGTTAGACGCCCCCTGGTGCTTTTCTCTGCAAGGAGGGGGGATCTCGGGTGCGGTGGGGGGGGGCGTGGATTTCTTTTTTAGGATGAAGGAAGGAGAAGACTGATTTTGGGGTGTGTGTGGAACCTTGCAAACAAACCCCCAAAATGCATTTGCTGGACAAGAGAAGGGGGGAGTTCACCCCCTCCCTAGGAAATGCCCTCTTTGGGGTTGCCCCCAGGAGCTTGAATTAATGGGGGAAAGGGTCCTGTAAGATTGGGGGTTCACTAATAAAGGGGAATGTTTCCAGTTCTGGGTTGAACTGGGGGGTCCTTGCAGACGTTTCGTGACCCAGCTAGGCAACCTCATCAGTGTGGAGAGCAGGAGGAGGAAGAGAAAAGAGAAGGAATAAAGGGAGAGAAGGAGGGAAGGGGAAGGAGGGAGGAAGGGGAGGAGGGGGAGGACTGTGGGGTCCTGGGTGCCCTCTGAGCTTGGTTGTTTCCTTGCAGACGTTTCATGACCCAACTATATAATATCATCAGTGCTAGAAGGGAGGGGGGTTTGTAGGGAGGAGGAGGAGGAGGGAGGAGGAGGAAGAGGAATACTGTGGGGTCCTTGGTGCTCTGAGCTTGGTAGTTTCCTTGCAGACGTTTCATGACCCAACTAGGGAACATCATCAGTGCTAGAAGGAAGTGGAGTGATATCAATGCAGAGCAATTATATGGACCATATAAGCCAGGGGTCTTCCAATTTGGCCCTTTTATGACTTGTGGCCTTCAACTCCCAGAATTCCTCAGCCAGCATGGGCCATATAAGCCAGGGGTCTTCAAACGTGGCCCTTTGATGACTTGTGGACTTCAACTCCCAGAATTCCTCAGCCACCTGTGCTGGCTCAAGAATTCTGGGAGTTGAAGTCCACAAGTCATAAAAGGGCCCAGCTTGAAGACCCCTGACGTAGGGATTCTAGGCTGATTCCTCTTTTGACTCCGCCCCCACTTTTTGCCCTCCCTTATCCTACACCTGGCAGTTGGTTTCTTTTATTTTCATTTTTCCTGGCCTCCCTTCTCCCCTTCCAGGATGAAAGAGTGGTGGATCCAAGTCGGCCTGCTGATGCTGCCCCTGCTTGCCGTTTACCTGCACATCCCGCCTCCGAAGCTGTCTCCCGCTCTGCGTTCCTGGCGCTCCTCGGGGAGCTTCTTCACCTACAAAAGCCAGAACGTCTTTTTCAGAGGTGGCGTAGATACCTTTCCTTCCATAGCCAAGCCTTTTGCCATTTGCTCTACAGGTGGTCCTTGGCTTAACGGCCACAGTCGCTAAGTGAGACAGTTGTTAAGTGAGTTTGGCCCCGTTGGACGACCTTACTTCCCACCGTCGTTAAGTGAATCGCTGCAGTTCAGTTAGTCCCACGGTTATTAAGCGAATCTGGCTTTCTCCCTTGACTTTGCTCGTCAGAAGGACGCAAAAGGGATCACGTGATCCCGGGACATTGCCGGTTGTCAGGTGCCTAAATTGTGATCACGGTGAAAAACGGTCGTAAATCACTTTTTTCAGTGCCGTTGTAACTTTGAGCAGTCACTAAACGAAGGATTGTGAGTTGAGGGCCACTTGTAATTGAGTGGAGATGCCCGTTTGATCCAGAAGAGACTTTCAAAAGACCTCAGAATCCAACTCGCTGGCATCTGCTTTTTAAAGCAGCCGTCTCATTTCCCAGCAAGGTTTCTGCCGTTGCGCAGCCCTAAAACTGAGGCAGCTGCTTTAATTGGTTTTCTGAGCCGCGTTAAATTGAAAGTAGCATGACTATTATTATGATTATTATTATTGGGGTCGTTTAGAAAGAGGTGGTTCTTGAAATGTTACGATCCGGAGTCATTTAAGGGCTTGGGGCAGAAGCAAAGTGGCACCTTATAAAGGTGGTCAATGTCAGCTAGTTGAGGCTAGTTTGTGGCTTAATGTCTGGCTAATTATCCAGCGATATCCTGGGGAGGAAACTCGCCCAGAATTCAAATGATTCTTTTAAACGCAAGGGGCCTGGCTTCCTTTTTGTAAATTTAAGAGCGTCGTGCTGGGAGTGGAACGTCGGCCAACGGTGTCCCCCAATGTTGGAAAGTTCGACCCGTTCCGACATGCACGCGAGGCCTCATGCAGAGATATTCAACCTTCAGGAGGCTGTTCTCTTTTTTGCTCCTCTGCTAAGAATAATAATAAATTTTGGCAAGCCGAACCTTGAGCGGTTCTTCTCTCTTCCCGTAAGATTCCCCCGGCGCCGTCGGGAGTTCAGACATTGTGGTCCTCTTGCACGGCTTCCCGACCTCGAGTTACGATTGGTACAAGGTGAGGAGGTAACGAACATGGTGACGGTGGGGAGGCTGGCTTGTAATGGTAGGAACTAACGGCAACCATCCCTCGCCTCCTTTCTCGCCTCGCCTGCAGATTTGGGAAGCGCTGACGCAGCGGTTCCATCGTGTGATTGCGCTGGATTTTGTGGGCTTTGGCTTCAGCGATAAACCTGTGAGTACGTTTTGAAGGACGCTGCGTGGTTTCTTCCGTAACTTCCTTTTTCCAACCAATGTCGTTAACATTAACAGAGGGATAGAATCAAGAACACGGGAAGTGTTGATACCACTTTGCAACGCCTTGGTAAGGCCACACCTGGAATACGGCATCCAGTTTTGGTCGCCATGATGTAAAAAAGATGTTGAGACTCTAGAGCAGGGGTCTTCAGACTTGGCCCTTTTAGGACTTGTGGACTTCAACTCCCAGAATTCCTCAGCCAGGCACACTTAGGCGTGAAAGCCGGCTGGGTGTCTTTGGGCCAATCACCCGGAGACGGTGAGTTCTAGTCCCGCCTTAGGTGTGAAAGCCGGCTGGGTGACTTTAAGCCAATCACCAGGAGACGGTGAGTTCTAGTCCTGCCTTAGGCATGAAAGCTGACTGGGTGACTTTGGGCCAATCACCAGGAGACGGTGAGTTCTAGTACCGCCTTAGGCATGAAAGCCGGCTGGGTGACTTTGGGCCAATCACCAGGAGACGGTGAGTTCTAATCCCACCTTAGGCGTGAAAGCCGGCTGGGGGACTTTGGGCCCAGTCCCTCCTTCTCAGCCTAACAGGGTTGTTGTGATGAAAATAGGAGGAAGGAAGAAGAGCTCTATATATTTGCCACTTTGAGTTATTTGTTAAAAATAATAAAGGCGGGATATAAATAAATACGGAAATACCATTACGAAAACAAAATTGAAAACAGATTTGGGGTGGGAACCCAATTTCGGTCCACAGAAGCAAGAGAAAAAGTCTTGCTAGTCACGGGGGCAACTCTGGGGAGGTCAAAAGAGTCAAGATGGCAGCGTGATAGAAGCCGCCAGACTTTACGCACAAAAGTGTGGGGCCTCGGTGTGATCGCTGCTTCCATCTTGACCTGGGCTATCTCTGCTTCACCTGCAGCAGATCTGCAGTCGGCTCGCTTGTAACCTGAAAAGACGGGCTCAGGTAGACATTTGCCACTGAAGGGCTTGATTCGAATTCGGTGCTCACCTCTCTCTATCTCGCACGGCAAACAGCGGCCTCATGCCTACTCCATCTTCGAACAAGCCAGCATCGTGGAAGGCCTGTTGCGCCACCTGGGACTCCTGAATCAACGGGTCAACCTCCTTTCTCACGACTACGGAGACACCGTGGCGCAAGAACTGCTGTACAGGTGTGTGGACTTAATCGTTTCTTGACAAACGACCGGAAGTCCTCGCTGTACACAGCCACAACTGAGAGCAGAGTCATGCCCGATGTTGCGACCGTTTTTCGTCCCGGTTGTTAAGCAAATTGCTCTGCAGGTAGTCCTCGAGTTACGAACGCTCCCTTAGCAAATGTTCAGAGTTACGACATCCTCGCCAAAAGTACTTACAACCGGGTCCCAAAGTTACATACGTTGCAGCATCACAGCGGCTATTCGCACTTACGAACGACCGCAGAGAGACTGCAACATGCTACTTTGGTGTCACACCTGAGAGCCCCCAAATGCACAGGCTTTGTGCCGCGGCCTTGAGTGCCCGAGCCTTTGTCCAGCCGGGTGAAGTGCCGGGACTGCCTCTCCCCTTTGTTGTGAGTAGCTGAGTCCGGGGAATCAGAGGAGGAGGAGGAGGAGGGGCCTGGAGAGCCATCAGAGTCGGAGGAAGGCTCTGATGAGCCCCAGGACTTACAATCTGATGAAGAGCCTGGCCCCTCCACTCGTGCTCAGGCTGAGACCCAGCTGTGCGGGGAGGCTGAGTCAGACTCTGAGGACTCACAGCTGGAAGACATCACAGACGCTGGCAAACGCAGATAGGCTACACGAGCAGGACAGAGGGAGGCAATGGGGTAGCTCCAAGGGAGGAGGAGAAGGCATTGAGAAGCCACGCCTTGGGGCTGCATAATAAAAAGGGAAGGTGTGGGCGGTGCTGGTTGCTGAAGGCAAGCGTTGGCAAAGGACTCAAGTTTCATGGGATCTTGTTTTGTTTGCCTTGCCTGTGAACAATTCTCCGTTTGAATCGTGTTTTGTTTGCCTTGGATAATTTTCCGTTTGAATCGTGTTTTGTTTGCCTTTGCTTTTGGGACATTTTGCAGGCTGGTACCTAATTAATAAAAAGGGTTTTTGTTTTTCCTGCATTTCCGGCCTACTTGTTAAAAGAGGAGATCATCCTTGTGAGTTAACAAGGACTCACGTAGGCTGGGACAGAACACCCTTCTCTGCCAAGTCCCAGCTTCTCTCACATGTGGATGCGGCCCTGCCTCGCCACTTGCCGGAATGCCGAACCCGCACGGATATCGCAAATTGCGCCGCCGCAGAGCTGGAGAGTGGCGCAATTTGCGATATCCGTGTGGGTTTGGCACTTCTCTGCCTTGCCAAAAGCACTCCTCCAACTGTTACGTTTCGCTGTCCTTTACTCCGTTCTCCTCCGGTTTCAGGTACGAACACAATAAAACCGGATGCATCCTGATCAACAGCCTGTGTCTGTCGAACGGAGGTAAGTGATTTACGGGAGGAATCTCCCGCCACCTCCTGTTGAAAAGTTAACTCGGAACGTAAGGAGGGAATCCGTGGGGAAAATCAAACGGTTTGCCTCATGGAGTTGTGGGTTGTGGCTCCATCGCCGGAGGTTTTCAAGACGAGGAAGGAGAGAAGCAACCTACAAATAAGGAGAGATTTCCTGACAGTGAGGACAATTAGCCAGTGGAACGACTGGCCTCCAGAAATTGTGGGTGCTCCATCCCTGAAGAGTCAGTTTTCTGAAATCTTATAGGGCCTCCAGCTTGAGCAGGGGGTTGGACTAGAAGACCTCCAAGGTCCCTTCCCAACGTAGGATTTTGTGACTTTTATGTTAGGTATGTCTATTCAAGATTAGCATTGTACAACCCTATTAATCAGAAGTTGTCTCCAGAAGTTGTGGGTGCTCCATCCCTGGAGGCTATCAAGAAGAGATTGGACAGCCATTTGTCTGAAATGGGAGAGGGTCTCCTGCTTGAGCAGGGGGTTGGACTAGAAGACCTCCAAGATCCCTTCCATCTCCATTCGGAATCTTCTATTCTGAATCAAAAACCATTTTTCCAGGATGATATAAGGCTGTGGTGGCGAACCTATGGCACGGGTGCCAGAGGCGGCACTCAGAGCCCTCTCTGTGGGCACGCGTGCCATCGGCCCCAATCCTGGGCCTTCAGCTGGGTTTTATAAAACCTTTTCGCTTTAGGCCTCTACTGCGTGTGCAAAAAAAAAAAAGGTTCAATCAATCAGTCAATTTCAACTTCTCGCGGGAAAAAAAAGATCTCGCAAAGTTGGAATTGATTGATTGAACTTTTTAGTCCCACCCAGTTTGCCGTTACCACTGCAGCCACGCCCACCCAATGGGCCACGCCCACCCAATGGGCCACACCCACCCAATGGGCCATGCCCACCCAATGGGCCAAGCCCACCCAGCACCCGACGATACATGTGAGTTTTAGGTTGCAGTTTGGGCACTCAGTCTCTAAAAGGTTCGCCATCACTGGTATAAGGTCTCCTGCTTTGGGGGTTGGACTAGAAGACCTCAAGGGTCCCTCCCAGCCTTAGGATTCTATGCAATGTAAAACTTAGGAGATTCCTTTTTGATCACTGATCTCTTTTGGCCAAGTCTCCTGGCACGGTTGATCTCAGCGTAACCCCCTGGGTAAAAATTGCGTTCGTGGCGTAGAAAACCGTAGGAGCAAATATCTGACTTCCACACCCTGTCTTAAATTTTTCAGGCATCTTTCCAGAAGTCCATTATCCCAGGTTCATCCAGAAGGTAATTTGTTCTTACAGGAAAAAAAAATGGCACGTTTTAAGTTGAAGAATCTCTCTTCTGAAAAATTGGGCTGGGAGATCATTTTTCGCTCCCCTTGTTTTTGGATCAACCCGTGAGCCAACGAATAAATACTCCGTCTGTGTTGTGTCTGCTTAAGCTCTGGCAGCAAAGATCTTTCCTTGCAACAGCTGGCTTTTATTATTTTATTTTATTTTATTATTATTTTATTTTATTTTATTTTATTATTTATTTTATTTTATTTTATTATTTTATTTTATTTATTTTATTTTATTTTATTTTATTATTTTATTTTATTATTTTATTTTATTTTATTTATTTTATTTTATTTTATTTTATTTTATTTTATTTTATTTTATTTTATTTTATTTTATTTTATTTTATTATTTTATTTTATTTTATTTTAAAAAGCGGATTAAGTAGAAATACCTAAAAGAAGATACTCTGCGTAGGAAGAAAGAAATTAAAGTTGCACTAGGAATTGGCAAGCTAATTTTTTTACTTTCTGAATATTCTCCCCCAGCTTTTCTTTCACACAAAGGCTGCTTCTTAAAAGATTAATCGATTCAATTGATTTACTATACGTTATCCAGGTTGTCCTGGACTTCACTACCACAAAGGAGACCAGACAAGCGGAAGGGAAGCCAAATTTACTCAATTGGTTCGTTTAACAGCTGTCGTCCAATAGGGCAAAACTCACTTTGCAACCGTCTTGCTTAACAGCAGAAATTTGGCGCTCAATTGTGGTCGTAAGCCGAGGACTACCTGCATATCCTTCCATTCTGAACTGAACCGGCCTCACCAGGAAGGCCTCTGTTTCGTGATCTTTCTCTGCTTTGATAGTTGGAGATCCTGAATCTCTTGCAGAAATCACACTGCAGATGAAAGGATCTCCATTTGCACTGCAATAGGGATCTTAAATTTGGAAAGCAACTTTTTTTTTCAGCTAGCCCAGGGGTAGGCAACCTTGGCTCTTTTATGACTGGTGGACTTCAACTCCCAGAATTCCTGAGCCAGCCATGCTGAGGGGAAAGGGAATGGTTTCCAAGCTGAGCCAGGCTGGCTCAGGAATTCTGGGAGTTGAAGTCCACGAGTCATAAAAGAGCCAAGGTTGCCTACCCCTGCCCTAGGCCTAGGCCGCTTTATGACTGGTGGACTTCAACTCCCAGAATTCCTGAGCCTGCCTGGCTCAGCTTGGAAACTTCCCCCTTTCCCCTCAGCATGGCTGGCTCAGGAATTCTGGGAGTTGAAGTCCACGAGTCATCAAAGAGCCAAGGTTGCCTACCCTGACTCTAGGAGGCTCACCACTTAGAACAGGAGGACTTAGGCCAGGGATGGGCAACCTTGGCTCTTTTATGACTCGTGGACTTCAACTCCCAGAATTCCTCAGCCAGCCATGCTGAGGGGAAAGGGAGAGGTTTCCAAGCTGAGCCATGCTGGCTCGGGAATTCTGGGAGTTGAAGTCCACAAGTCATAAAAGAGCCAAGGTTGCCTACCCCTGGCCTAAGTCCTCCTGTTCCAAGCGGTGAGCCTCCTAGGCCAGGGGTAGGCAACCTTGGCTCTTTTATGACTCGTGGACTTCAACTCCCAGAATTCCTG